CATACATACATACATTCATACATACATACATACATATATACATACATACATACATACATACATACATACATACATACATACATACATACATACATACATGCATGCATGCATGCATGCAAAATGCCTTGTTGGCGAAAGCCCTTTTTTTCAAAGAATAACATTGACTTTTTGTATGGAGGTTTGTGGACGCTTCCAATTGCGCAAATTGTGCATGCATCTGTATGAGTGTAACCTTTCACCTTTGCGACCAATGCAGAATAAATATATATTCCAGGTGAAATCCGATGGTGACGTACGTTCGAGTCTTGAAGCACTCGGTGACGGGTGAGCATTGAACTTTCAATATGTGCATACGTTATCTAAATTACTGATACATATTTCATATTTGTATACATATGCATAGCCAATACATATGCAGTGAATACATATTTTTAAAATCACAACTGAGAACTGAGAACTGGCAGCTCGTATTTTGTAGATAAAAAAACAAAATAGATGATATCATGAGTAGAAGTACTCCAATATCACCTTAAAAATATATGATGCATCTGTTTTTACTTTTTATCCTTTCCTATTGGCGAGGGAGGTTGCGATCAGCTTCGACATTCACCTGAGTTCTGACCAATCTTTATAAAATATCAAGTGCTCTGAAAAAGCCCCACAGTTACGATTCTGGCTTCATCTGAATTAATCTACATAGTACAATACATAAAACTAGATATATAAGCAGCCATATATGTACCCCTTTGGTATAGGCAAATAGTATTTACATATATTAAGTAAACATTAAATAATTCGGGCACGGTTGTTATGATATAAACGCTTGTCGTCGGGCACATTGCACCACAAACACCACAACAATTAACACACACGTATATACATTACCACATATACACACAACAGTTACTATGGGTCGATCAAGCCAAAACCACAAACTAAGTGATGAAGGCCTAAAAGCAAGGCAAGTATACCTGAAAAAGAAATACAAATCACACGCATACACGGCGGCAGGACTTACAGCAGTAACAGTGGGCACAGCATTCCTTTTCGTACCGTTGTTGATTGTAACCGTACCAATCCAAGCTACTGAAGTGGTCGCCACCGTAAAAATCAAGAGCAAAGTCAAGAAATGCGATAGGGAAATGGAGAGACGGGCTACTGAACACCAGCAAAGTAATGAAAAAACACTGTCAGCCGGGACCGAATCTGAGGAACTCGTGGAATCACTGAAGAAAAGTTGGGTTTTTGCGGAACCTTTGCCGGCCGATATTAATGGCAACGCACCACCTAGTTACGAGACTACGATGGTATGCAGCGCATATGTACAAACATACAATCAGGAGGATGAAAATGGTGTTGTGGTGGTAGGGGAGGATGAGGATTGGCGCGAAGACTGCAGTACAATAGAAGGAAAATTGAATAGCAAGAAGAAAGAAAAAACAATAAGCGGAAATGGTATCATATTAGAGGACGATGAACTAGAGTTCCTTGAACTGTAATCGGCAATTTTAATTATTTTGTCGGGAGTATAGAATAAGCCAGCATAGCACAAACCGAATATCTTAAAAAATAGACTTATTACATTAAAATCGACTTATTTCTCGTTTAATATACGTAGTTAATAGTTCGCTATGCAAATCTCTGATGATGCTTTATTTGAGTGATGATACTGCAACATAACTTCACCCATACAGCCATGTTAACTTGTTAGCTATCAACTCTGTTGGCAGGCAATGAGTGCATCTATGTGCTAAATTCTTGTTATTGATCTTGTCAGGGTTCAAACATACTACGCATCCATTCATGTTTGAAACGGCAGAGTTCCACAAGTTACAACCCTGCTATTCATTTTTTAGTCTATACTCTCTATACGCAGACGAGGGCGAGATATGTAAATAAATGACAAATGATTTGTTTGTACCGAACATATCTGTTTCGGCAAAGTGTACTGGAAAATCAAGAGGAGGAGCGGACACTATCGTACTGTCACTATTTACACAAATATTACTACACAGGCTTTAATAGAATAGACAGGGTTTTGATATATGGATGCCGATGAACTGTTTATAGCAACCGATATATATTATGCGTGTTAAAGAGAGGGATATGGGTACACATATATGGGGAAAAGATATGTGTTTTTTTGAATTAGAAGGCTATGATCTAAAGGTATAATCAATGCCAGAGCGAGAACGTTAGACACTGTTCTCGCGTGGATTCTTTTTGTATTTTAATCTACGTCAGGAAAATACGTTTAAGCGAATGTAGATCAAAGCATAGAGGTACATTGTCTCAGAAATTATGCCAAAAGAAAAGATGTTGTCAGTGGCACTGCCGTCTGCATCCGCTAGCAGGTTTGATTCGGATGTAAAAGATATAAGTAAAGGGTATGTTATATATA